GTCTTTTAGACCAGATGGGCGGGGTATAAATCAAATAAATAAATAAATAAATAAATAAATAAATAAATAAATAAATAAATAAACAAACAAACAAACAAACAAACAAATGCATACATACATACATACATACATACATACATACATACATACATACATACATACATACATACATACATACATACATACATACATACATACATACATACATACATATTAACCCCCTCCCTCAGTGAGCTGGGTACTCAAGTTTACCAAACTCAGAAGGATGGATGGTTGAGTGAACCTTGAGCCGGCTACTTGGGACTGAACCCCGGGTCGTGAGCACAGTTTGGGCTTCACTACAGCAGTTTACCCACTATGCCATGAGGCTCTATATTAGCCAAGGGCTGGACTAGATGGCCTTTGGGGTCCCATCCAACTCAGCAATTCTTGATTCTATTATTGTGGGAGGTTTGGTATAAATACCTGACAGCTGTTATCAGCCATGGCCTTCACGAAGGCCAGTGCAGCAGAGGTAGCAGAGCGGATGGTCTCTGTCCGGCCACGGTGGAACCGACGGAGAGAGGCTGACTCGGTCGTGGCAGCCAGCTCCCCATGTGTCCTAAGGAGGGCAGCACAGACAGAAAGAACCAATAGTTAGTTGTTATAGTTTGCAATCTGTTTTTTTTTTTGGGAGGGGGGAAAACAATAAAAAGTCGTGTAGCACCTTAAAAGCTAGTAAGTTTTATTTGGCACAAACTTTCATGAGCTCTTTGCCACTTCTTCAGATGCATCTGAAGAAGTGAGTTATAGCCCATGAATGATTATTCCAAATAAAAGACTTGTTCATCTTCAAGATGTCACAAGGTTCTTTGCTGATTTTCCCGCCAGAGACAGAAGGAAATTTAAACACAGAGCCCTTTCACTTACCCAGGTAGGTGTCTGTACACCTACATTTCTCAGATATGTAATACTACCTGCACAGGACGATTACTTCACGCATTATGATTAAAAAGAGAACTTGCAGGAAGTGAGTAGTGGGGTATTTCCTAACCCCAGAAGAATCCTAACAGATTGCAGGTTAGATATGGAAAAATATACATGTTCTATAGCAGGTAGATATACATGTCCTGATCCCTGTGAGAATTCTAAGGCATTCTCCAATTGAAAAAAAAATCCCCAGAACTGACCCAACCTTATGACAACCGAATTACATCAGTCCTGCTTTGCTATATCACAGTTCACAAAAAAACCCACCCACCCACACCCAAACAGGAACAATAATAGGGCTACTTGCATCTTCATACATAGAGAGTCTGGCACAAGCAAAATATTCCAAAAGTAAAACCCAAAAGATCTCTTGAAAAATAATTTCCTCCTGTGAAAAAACCTTGCTGAAACTGGGATTTGTTTAGAAATGTTTAAATCAATGGTTCCCAGTCTTGGGTCTCCAGATATTCTTGGACTGCAACTCCCAGAAGTCTTCACCACTAAGTGTGTTGGTAGGGGCTTCTAGGAATTGTAGTCTAAGAACATCCGGGAATCCAAGGTTGGGAATCAATGATGACTGAAGAATGCTTACATTATAGATCTACTACTCTGAGGATTCTGTAGCAAAACGTGACTCGAGGGAGGCAATTCCAACCTCTCATTCTAGCGCACGTGACTTATGAAACTGGATAACATCCTGTTCACCTCTGCTCCTTAAAACTAGGTTTATGCACCCGATAGGCCCTCAGCTCACCTATAATAGGCTAGCTGCAGCGCCACCTGCAGGACAGAATCGGGACTGAGCTTGTGGCGTTTCAGAAGGTCTTTGCCAAACTCTCGGTAGGTGAAACAATTGATGTCCAGGTCATTGATGAGACTGATAAAGAGGGGGAAAAAGACAGGTCACTCAGCCAATCCGCTTTGGCCATAGCACAGATCCCTCCCACTCCCACCAAGGCAAACAAGGACGGTATCCCTTACCCCTTTTCCTCCCTTTCAAGGCTAAGGGCAGATGCCTTAACTCTTCACCTGGAAATGATAGTTTCCCCCAGAGGATATTCTAATCTCCTCTCCTCTCCCAGCAGAGCCTGGATTCCCTTGCTTTAAATCTCCCCTCCGAACCAGAGAAGTGACCTAAGCCTTCCCTGTTTTGCAAAGAGAAAAACCACACTGTATTCTCTAAGTGGCTATAGAGGGTTTTCAAAGAAATCCCAGTGCAGAGACTAAGATGGGCATGCCTTCCGGGCTGAGAAATGAGAGATCATAAAAGCACCGCCAGGACCTAAAACCCGCTCCCCCGTCTGCTGGCCCACTCACTGCACAACACTACGGAAAATCCTTCCTTAACTGTGCCCCTCCCCCCACTCACATGTCCAGGTTCTGTTTGGCATGCTCAATGTCACGTTTGACTTCTGGAGTGAAGCAGAAGTAGAGTTTTTTGGGCAGCTGCAAAGGGATCAGAGGGGCGCGGACGGGGACCGGATCCTTGCTGGATGAAGGGCAAGTTTGGGGAGGGGGCAGAGGGGGAAGGAGAAAAAAAATCATTAGAATGTAATCCAAAGAAATAGCAGATTCTATCACAGGAAAGACCCACACCTAATCTCCATTTTCTCTCTCGCACCCTGCACAACAAAAGTATTACTCTGTTCTTTTTCTTTGCCTTCCAACAAAGCCCACCCCCACCCCTTGCACAGAGAAACCACTTTGGACTTGAGATGGGCACTTCCAGTGCCACCGGCTGCCCTGCCCTGCCTCCTCTTCCTCCGAATGGGTGCCTGCAGGAGGAGGCAGGGCGTGGAACCCAGGCGCCTGCACAACATCTGTGGGCCTGATCTGCTGAACCCCAGTGATCCGTGCTAAGTGCCCATCTCTACTTTGGACAATTCAAAAGTTGTTAGTAGGTGTGCAAGAGTTTTGGTACTGTATTACATCTAAGAACAACAGAGCTCATAGGTTGATGCTTTTTTGGATGACAACTCCCAGAATCCCCTCTCCAGACCACGGGGAAGATGATGGGAGTTGTGGTCCAAAACTAGAATATTTCTAATGTTAAAACATAACACCTATATTTCTGTCTGAGATACTGGGGTTATGTACAGAAGTGGGTTCTCTCCACAAAAGCTGACACTTACATCAACGTCTTAGTCTGAAAAGTGCTGCAAAACAGAGTAATACAGCTGCCTCTCTGAAAATGGGAATTAAATGACTCCGTACAAGACCTTTTTGCATTTTAGTACAACCGGGTGGTTTAGCTCTCTGGCTGTGGAGCCAGAGGTTGGGAGTTCAATCCCCCCCCCCGTGCCTCTTCTGGACTCAGTTATCTATAGGCTCCCTTCCAGCTTTGCAGGTTTTAAGATTATTAATATATACACAGCCCTGCAAATGTCTGTTACAAATTCGGTTTTACAAACATTCATTCATTCTCGTCCTCTGCCAGTCCTTCCCATTCCCCTCCACTATGTGAAACCTAAGTAAGCGTGAATAAGCTAGTAATGACTGTGAATTGATTCGGAAGACTAACTTAATATTCACGAACACGATGGCTTGTTGCTCTGAAAGGAATTCCTCTCACACATACTGTCCCCAGTTTCTGAGGGAGGGAGCAGTGGTTCTCTCTCAGCTTGCCTATGCTGGAGCTTGGAAGGCTGGCTCCTTTGGACTACAACTCCCAGAATTCTGCAGCAGCATGCTACCCTGGGAGCTTCTGCAAGCTGCAGTAACCTTCCCAAAGATTGGGATCATCTGTGGGCTGTGTGGGCTGGACTTCTTGTGGTCTAACTATCTACAAAAGCTGTAGGCCTCTGGATCCTGTTGGACTACAACTCCCATAGTACTGCGGCCCCCGGCTAGGCCAACAGAGAATTCTGGGAGTTGTGGTTCCCCTCCCAATAAAAAAACCCACTCCACTTCCCATCCAGTTTTAGAGTCTTTTCTTCTCCCAGGGAAACATTACCAATAATCCAGAACGTGGTCAATGATGGTGGCGATTGGAGGACCCTCTGCAACAGCTTGTTCATACAGCACCCCGCAGGAGCCATCTTCTCCCACGATGAACTGTGATTCAGGGGAAACAAGACAGCCAGGGTTGTGAAAGGGAAAGGACAAGAGATGGGGCTGTGGTGACCGCCCGCGTTGCCCATGCCATTCATATTCATGAGCTGATTTGCATGAACCTATGAGAGGACTGGAGGGGTGGAGTCAGCAGCTACATGAGGTTTGGCGGGAGAAGGAGGAGTCAGATAGGGCTGGTTAGCCAGAGAGAGAGGGGGAACAGATACTGAGAGAGATAGGGCTGGAGAAGAAAACAGGTAGAGAAGGTGGTAATGATATAGCAAGAGAAAAGAAGTATGTACTGAGAGGACTGTTGATGACCTGCTTATGTATAACGCGTATCTGAGAAACTTCTGCTATTATTCAATCTGCTTCACTTCAATAAATGAGTTCTGTTTGTGTTCACAAGTGTTCGGACAAATGTCATTTATATTGTGTACTGAGGTAATCTACTGGTGGCAGCAAGAAGAAAACGTGACGTGGGCCTTTGTGAGGGAAAGACAAGCAGGGGCCGCAAGGGTCAAGTGAGAAAATGGCTGGAATGGCTGCCTTTAAAACAACAACAACAGTGGCACTGTTCCACCTAAAAGGTCCAGGTTTGAGAGAAATATCGGTGTCAGGGAGGCCTCACTGCTGTGAGGAAAGGAGAGCAGAGCAGCCTGTTGTCAATGCTCTCCCCATACTGGTTCTTAGCAGGAAGGATGATATTAACGGGTGGTAAGGCTTTGGTTGTACAAAGGCTGGTAGGTGAGAAGTTAGATCCCTCTGTGCAGGCCAGTCAAACACAATCAAAACAAGAATAAAAAATAAAGAAGACAAAAAGATTGTGGCATCAGAAAACTAACTGCTACATGTGCCTGTGTGTGCAAAAAGAAAGAAAGATGAGGTTTAATTTGTTCCATTTTTCTGTTAACTCAAAAGTATTGCTCACACTGACTGTTAGTATGCTACTGACCCTTCAAGAGAAACTGAAAAGAGGGTTTCAAAAAGGGAAACAAGCAAGGGAAAGATCTCAGGACAGTTGGGTTTATTTTTATAGCAGCTGGGGCAGCCCAGTTAGGCCTCTGCCAAACTGCTGGAGCAGCTTTATTCTACAAAATTAAAATTGTTTAGGGACAATATTATATATGTAAGACCTGAGATCATTCCTAGGGATGTTCATTCCCAGCAGGAACAGCACTTTGAACAATGCAGGAACCACAGCCCAGTCCGTGACCAGAGCCGGACTGGGCTGTGGAGACAGAGTCCCCCCACCCCCACACAGCCCCTTTGCGCCTGCACGTGCACGCTTGCGCCCACACAAGCGCTCCCCCACACCTTTGCCCATGTGCACGAATGCCCCCGAGAGCTGCACCGCCCTTCACGCATGCGCACGAGAAAGCGAGCGCCTGCACGAGCGTCATGCCACCCTTCGCGCAAGCATGCCCTCCCATTCCTTCGCGTATGCGCACAAGCGCAGGGGGTGCCCTGCCTTCCTCAACTGGTCTATGGGGTTAAAAAGGCTGGGGATCGCTGCTCTAGAGGCTTGTGAGCATAGCAGTTTTTTTTAAGCTCATTTTTTCCTTGGTATTGGGAATATGGATCCAGAAACACATAGCGGGCCTTAGAAGGTCACATGAGCCCACATAGTTCCTACCTTTGAATTAATATAAAGGAAAAAGGAGGAAAATCAATGTGAGGGTGAGTGCCGTGGGGCTATTCCAATGTGTTAGGACTACAGTTCCCACGGTATTTCAGCAGCAGATCTCATGGGTGCTGAAAGGCCAAACCCTTGGTGTATCCAAGGTTCCTGCTCCGATCTTGAACTTATTTCTCACCTGCAGGGTTTTGTCAAACCACCGGTTGCCACTGTTGGAGTGGCTGCCGCCGCCATGCAGCATCTGCGCCGCCAGACAGCTGGCCACCCGGGCGTCGGAGACTTTCAGGACAGGCGCATCCAGGCAGACGGTGAAGAGGCTCCGCTGAATGGCACGAGCCGATTCCCGGTTCAGTTTGTCTAGCCGTGGAGAAGGAGGAAAGAGGGGAGCGGTCCAATATTACATCACGGAACCCACCCTGGTGTAGTTTATTTGATGCGAATTTAAAACAGCATCAGGCTTTTGAAAGGGAAAAGCGAAGTGGAAGAAGGAGCTGTGCCACTTTGCACCGAAAGAGGACACACTTCTGAAAACTCACCCCACATGAAATCACACACCAACACCAACACCACCTACCATCCTGACTGGGAACAGAAGACCAGGGAGAAAGACTCAAGTTCCAAGTCCTTAGCTTGCTGCGTTGATTTTCTGTTGCAAGTAGTTTAATGTAGATTGCTGCTCCAAAATGTGCCCCCAACCACCTACAGTCTGAAGTGGATCAATCTATTTTGCCCCCTTCCTTCTTTATCCTTGCGCACGCCAACCTTGTCCACAGAGAAAGGGGGTAGAACTAGGGTTCCCAACCTTAAGGTCCCCAGATGTTCTTGGACGACAACTCTCAGGAATCCTGGTTGGCACAGGTAGTGGTGAAGGCTTCTGGGAGCTGTAGTCCAAGAAACAGCCGGGAAACCAAGTTTGGGAACCCCTGGTATAAAAAGACACCAGGAAGATCTGCCTGCCCTTTTGCAAACCGGGAGTGTAGTCTGCTAGAAGAAAATTCCTTTACTCAGGTCTGCTTGATACCACTGCAACACTAAATCATGGTGGCTATTTAAAATTTGGTTTCCAATTCCGGAACCCTGGTCTTAACCACATTTTAGGTCAAGTCAGAAGCAAGCAATTTTGAGACTTCAGAGATGTGATTGGACTATACCTCTTTTACCAGCATAACTAAGGATGAGGGATGAAACAGCAACCTCTGGAGGGGGTCACAAACTTCCCACCTCTGGTTTAGTTATTCAGATGCAATATTTAACCATGTATAAAAAAAACCCCAATACGGATACATTATAAGGAAAATATAATCATTATTATCTTAGAACCGCAGAGGTGGAAGAGACCCTGTGGACCATCGAGTCCATCCCCTGTCAAGGAAATACAGTGGGGGATTGAACTCCCAGCCTCTGTCTCTGCAGCCAGATGCCTAAAACCACTGAGCTATCCAGCAATTCTATCCAGTGAATCAATGGGACTTACACTAGTGTTATCTTAAGAAGTCCTGATTACTTTCTGGGTCTACTCTAGTTTGAACTACGAAACTGGTCTTAACTCTGCGTTTCCTGGGGACCTCTCAGAAAGCTGTATAGGAAAGCCTATCGCCACAGCATGCCTAACTTTCAAAACTGGACTTAACTCTGCATTTCCTGGGGACCTCTGTATGGGAAGCCTATCGCCACAGCATGCCTAACTTTCTAGTTAATCCAGCCTCCCCTCCTTGCACACTAAGAAACGCACCTCTCATGAGAGTGGTGTAGGCCTGTCCCCAGGTGTGGCGGTGGTCACTGGTCAGCACCCCCAGGGGTTCCTTGTCTGTCTTCCAAGACTGATCCCGGATGCGCTGGAGCTGCCAGTGCAACTGGTCTACGGTAAGAGGGGTCCCATCGCTGTTGTACACTTCAAACTGGAAAAACTGAGGGGAGAAGGCAAGAGGCACAGAAACGGGGTGCACCAATTCATAATAAGGAATGTACTCTTTTTTGACATAAATTCAAAGTGAAAGCTCCTCAAATACTTCCAAGAATCATACACTGGCGCATGTGCAGGGCTTAGTAAGTTTCCTTTCTTTGGCCTACAACTCCCAGAATCCCTCAGATGCAAAGGACCAAAAGCTGATCTCATCCATGGCACAGCATGCCCCAGTGGCCACTCAGATGCCCATGCCAGAATCACCAGCAGGACATTTGGGCAACTTAGCCTTCTCCCCATGTTACCCCCAAGGACTGGCATTCAGAAGTACAGTACTGGTGTCTTTGGTCCTGGAGGTAGCAGATGGCCAACATAGCTTGTAGTGAGTCAGGCTATGCTGTTGATATTTATGTTGCAATTTAGTGTTTTTTGGTCTGGCGAGTTCGGTTTTAACCACTTGTAAACTACCCAGAATAGTGTATTCGCGAAGGCGAATAGTGCTTCAGCATTAATGGGGTGGGATGGATGGATGGATGGATGGACCTCAGCATTAATGGGGTGGCATGGATGGATGGATGGATGCATGGATGGATGGATGGATGGATGGATGGATGGATGGATGGATGGATGGATGGATAGATAACCGGTAAAATCCTACAACCAAGTAAAATTGCCTTGCACCTAGTTCAACACCATTTGTCCATCTAGTCCAGTGGTTCCCCACCTTGGGTAACCCAGATGTTCTTGGACTGCAACTCCCAGAAATCCAGGCCAGCACAGCTCATGGTGAAGGCTTCTGGGAATTGCAGTCCAAGAACATCTGGGGACCCAAGGTTGGGAACCAGTGATCTAACCGAATACTTGACAACTCTGAGCGGCAGAACTTCTCGGAGACAAGAGACCTTTCCCCAAGCTCATCTGCTTCAGGTCCTCTACACAGAGTCTCCAGGAGAACCTGGCCAACTCCCCTGTATGTTATCCACCAAAAGCTTTCAGGAAAAACAAATATCCAACTGAAGTCCTCGAGAAAAATGGGGACACCCAGAATTGAACCAAGGACTTCCAGATGTTGAGAGAAATGCTCTACCGTTGGGCTACGGCTGAAGCACCAACAGATGTTCAGCCACGTAGCTTAGTTAGGGATGCTGATTTCACAAATTAAATCTGCAGCAAATAGTTATGTTTGTGTGCCTATAATTATTTTTCTGCTGTGAAACAACCTACTGAGCCTGTATAGCTTCTACAGCACACACCTAGCTCACTCAGAGCACTTGTTATGGGACCTACCCATTTCCCCCTTGAAAAGCGAGTTGGCATTTAAAGACACACAACCCTTCCAGTGATGCTGCAGGACAACATTAGAGATGGCAAGCCAACTTGTTATTCCTGGATATGCTTTCAAGCTTCTGCTTTGGGTTGTAATGCTCTTTTATCTGCAGACCTTCCAGGGTCTGTGCGGTATCGGGAGATCCCTGGTGCACAGGTTTATTTGTCCTCCTACAAGGAACTCATAGTTAACCTTCAGGAAAAAATATCTAACCAAATCCCTAAAAAAAAGGAGGGGGCACCCGGACTTGAACCAGGGACCTCTTGATCTGCAGTCAAATGCTCTACCGCTGAGCTATACCCCCAGCACATGTGGCTATGTTATCTGAACCTAGTCATGGATACTGTTTTAGCTGCATAGTTTTTTTCCCATATGCAATGGATCTCAAACACTATGGGGATTTTTTTCTTCTTCTACAAACTAAAAAAGGAAGAGATTTTTTTCCCCTACAACTTAAAAAAAAAAAAGCTTTATTCATCCCGTAAGTCTCTAGTGAACATGTGTATTTTACACCAGCTTTCATAAAGACATATTCCTATCCATGAGCCTTCCAGAAAAATGGGGTTGAGAATCTAACTGAATCCCTATTAAGGGAAAAAAGAGGGGGTGGACAGAGTTGAACCAGGGACCTCTTGATCCGCAGTCAAATGCTCTACCGCTGAGCTATACCCCCAGAGCACACAGTAGCTTATTTACAGATACTGGTCTTTCCACCTACCTCTCTAGCATGTACTTAAGTCACAAGTGGTGGCTTCAGGTGCTTTAACTACAGGCACGACTCCCCAGATGAATGCTTCCGCATTAAGCACCAAACTACTGTCCATCTACACATTGCAAAAGATTCTGGAGCAGGGTGTGGGCAAAATGTGTCCCTCCAGGTATTACTGGACTGGAATTCCCCACCATCCTTCACCTCTGGCTCCTCTGGCTAAGACTCATGGAAGAGGCAAGTCTGAAGTGCTGCAGGTTGTCCACCCATCTTCCAGAACCTCTCTGCCAACTCATGCCCAGCATAAGCTATAAAGGCCTAACCTTCTCCCCCTTGCAAACTGGTGCATACCCAGCGCTTCCCAAGGGTATCCAACCCTCGTCTTCACTGCGCACATTCTAGACTCCATATTACAGCTACAGATGGATACTTTTAGCGGGTCAGGACACGCCTGTGACCGCTGTAAACTAGAAGAGGTATCATTACCTGGAAGTTGCGTGCTACGGTGATGTAAGTGGGAGGTCTGCGACCTGGGGGAGGGAGAAAGACGGAGTCGTGCTTTGGCCCCGGAAGTCGGCACGACCCAAAGATGCGAGAATACTGGTCCATGCACAGAGGGTAGCCCCGGGAATATTCCACCAACAGAGTCTGGCTGGCATGGAGGGAAACCAAAAGAACAAGTCAATGGCCTTGGAATCTCCATCTGCAAGGAGGCAGCTGAGCTAGATACCGTGCCACTTTATTTTCGTCCTCTGTTGTGCGTTGTGTGCCGTCAAGTTGAAGCCCAACGATAGTGACCCTCATAGAGTTTTCAAGGTAACTGAGATATTTAACAAGTGGCTTTAACAGTTCCACTCCTATAAGATTTCATGGGTGAGTAAGGATTCGAACCCAAGCCTCCTGAATTCTAGTCCATTGCTTTATCCATCACACCACTCTGAGTATTCCCTGTTGCTATGTACTGTCATGTTATAAGAGTAGTATAAAAAGGGAACTGTGTCTCTTTGCCTTACTTGGTGATAAGGATAATGCAAGAGAAGAAGCCCCTGCTCACCTTTAAACAGCAACCCCAAGCATAGTGCAGGGTTTTGGTGGTGGCGGCTGTCCGGGGGGTGGCACACATGGTAGCAAAAACGTGAGACTGTCATAGGTGTGTGTGTTTTCCCCTCAACTGGAGCTACAACTTTAAATAGTTACTTTTAAAAGTAACTTCCCAAGCCTTAGATCGCCAGTGGCCCATCCTTAGCTAAACCATCTTAATCAAAACTTTTAAAAAACTTTTTTTAGTCATTGAATGATTACTATCAGTGGTTCCCCATAGAGATGGGCACAAACTGCCAGTCTGATATGGTTCATTTCCTGGCCAAACAGCTGATCATACGGTTCATTTCCTGACCGAACAGCTGATCGGCAGTTTGGTGCATTTCCTGGCCAAACAGCCGATCGGGAGTTTGGTGCGTTTCCTGGCCGAATAGCTGATCGGCAGTTTGGTGCGTTTTCTGACCGAACAGCCGATCGACAGTTTGGTGCATTTCCGGGCCGAATAGCTGATCGGCAGTTTGGTGCGTTTCCTGGCCGAATAGCTGATTGGCAGGTTGGTGCGTTTCCTGATCGAACAGCTGATCGGCAGTTTGGTGTGTTTCCTGGCCAAACAGCTGATCGGCAGTTTGGTGCGTTTTCTGACTGAACAGCCGATCGGCAGTTTGGTGCATTTCCTGGCCGAATAGCTGATCGGCAGTTTGGTGCATTTCCTGGCCAAACAGCAGATCTGCAGTTTGTTGCCTCGCCCCCTCCAGCAAGTGCCAGTCAGTGGCCGTGCCTTGTCCCACCTCCTCTGGGTGCCGCGTCTGAGTGGGCGCCCACCGGAGGAGATGGGGGACTGAACCACGGATCAGCTGTTTGGCTGGGAAATAAACTGCACGGAACTGCCAAACCAGTGATTTGTGCCCATCTCTAGCTCCTGGTCGTAGGTCCCCAAATATTTCTTAAGACTTCAGTTCCCAGAAATCCTGGCCAGCACAGCTAGTGGTGAAAGCTTCTCGAAGTTGCAGTCCAAGAACACCTGGGTTACCCAAGGCTGGGAACCACTGCTCTAATTCAAGAAGGCCAAAGAAGCGCCTCTCCAGATGTTGCTGGACCGAAGCTCCTATCTTTCCTCACCGTTGGCTATAGTAATAAGTGGAATTGCAACAATAAAATCGGATAGGTCTCCCATTTCCCAGTCTTCCCATAACAGCTGCATACGGATGACTATTCACCAAGGACTAACTTAGCACGGACCCTTAATAGGCTCTGGGTGCATGTTTTCTTGCTGAACGGGGAAGGAAATCTATCTACATGCCTGCTCAGTGAAACAGATGAGGTGTCTTTTGGGCCTTTATATGCACATGGTGGTGAATTCCAAACACATATTGTCTTAGAAAAAAAAACACAATTGTGCTGGAAAAGGGAACAGGAAAAGAAGATCATCTAAGTAAAAGATGGATTGACTCCCTACAAGGAGCCACATCTTTGAGTCTACATACAGGAACTAAGCAGGGGTGGCTGAAGACAGAGCATGTTGGAGGTTGCTGGACCGAAACTCCCATAAACTCTTCCCAGCCTAGCCAATGGTAGGATATTATGGGATTTGTAGTTCAACAACATCTGGAGGGGGGTCACACCTTCCCAAACCATTTCCAGTATTTCTTTTTAGATACAGAACTCCATTCGCCTTCTACATTTTTCGATCAGCAGGTTGTGTCTTTACGTGCTTATTTCTTTGTTCCCCACTTTCCCCGATCCAGAATACTCACTGGTCAATCTTCGCCTTGAAATCCAGCACACCGGCAATGAGTTTTGCTGCAAACCTAGGTGGGAAAGAAAGAAGGCATTTTCTGGTTATAAGATCTCGAAAGAAGTTTTCCTGTTCTAAGGTCTGCATTCCACAGCAGCTCTCTCCAAAACCAGATGTACAGATTTCTGGATTTGAGGCTACTGGAATTCCCTAGGCAACATGGCCACGAGCCACAGCATTGTCAGACCATATTTTATTAGAAAGCCTTAGTTGTTCAGAAGAACCTGTTCTGCCCATGCTCAGACATAGATCTTTAGAAACTAGTTATATGTCTAATGGAAAAAACACTCTGTACAATGGTGCCTCGCTTAACGATTGGCCCGCATTACGATGAATCTGCTTTACGATGATCTTTTTGCAATCGCAATTGCGATTGCAAAACGATGGTCTAAATGGGGGAATTGCGCTTAGTGATGATCGGTTCCCTGCTTCGGGAACCGATTTTCGCTTTATGATGATCAAAAACAGCTGATCATTGGGTTTTCAAAATGGCCCCTGGTGCTTAAAATGGCTCCCCGCTGTGCTTAGGGACGGATTCCTCGCTATACAGACACCAAAAATGGCCACCGTATGGAGGATCTTCGCTGGACTGTGAGTTTTTGCCCCATTGGAACGCATTGAATGGGTTTCAATGCGTTTTTAAATTTTGCTTTACGATGTTTTCGCTAAACGGCGATTTTCTTGGAATGGATTATTGTCGTTAAGTGAGGCACCACTGTATATGCTCAAGAGCACTGTTCATCAGTCTTCTTTTTAAGAGAGACTCACAGCATCTTAAAGGGCTCCCACATTTATTACAACCTAAGCTTAACACAGACTAGAGTCTGTTTCATCTCATGCATGAATATTCTCCCTCTGAAATGTAGCTTTACAACAAACTAAAGATTAATCACCTTTTTATTTCTACATTTCATGGGGGGAAAGTTACAGAAAGCAAGAAGATAGCAATCAAAACACTGTATGTTATGATCTAAAAGCTGTGGGGTGTATAGTAGGTTGCTTCTTAACAGAAAGATCCAGATCCAGAAGAGCTGTCGGTAGGTGGCATGTTTGAACCAACGCACATGAAATCGTACACATGAGGTAGTGAACTATGTGGCAGAACCTGTATTTGTAAATAAGTTTCCTGGAGAGCCATACTTCTGCACTGGGGGTATAGCTCAGCGGTAGAGCATTTGACTGCAGATCAAGAGGTCCCTGGTTCAAGTCCGGGTGCCCCCTCTTTTTAAAGAAACGTTGGATGTTTTAGTTGTACTGTTCCACAAGGCTCATGGTAGTTAACAGAGAAAACCCCTCATGAATGAAGATGTAAAATAACCAAGAAATATCAAGGACTGTTACCTAGAGCTGTTGATGACAAAATGTGTTTTCAGAGATAGGATGGACATTGATGAAAAGACCTCAGCCAAAATCAGCAATGGCCCACGCGTAGCCCCAAGATGTTGCTGGAGTGCAAAACCCATCATCCCTTACCCCTGATTATGCTGACTAGGGCTGGCAATCCAACTCTTACTATCTAAAACCTCTGGTTTAAAAATCAGTGCCCAACATTTTTAAAAAATGACTTTGGGAGGTTTGGATGAGATGAGGTTGACCTTAATCAATGTACATCCTACCACTGAAATAAAACACATTCTGTCATCAACAATTCTAGGCAAGCAAGTCTGTGTATTGCCGAGAATCTCTCATATTATTCTGATTGCTTTGCCAACTGTATTTTATAGACTCATAAAATCACAGAGTTGGAAGGGGCCTATAAGGACCTCAAGTCCAATCCCTGGCTCAATGCAGGAATCCAAGTCAAAGCAGATCGGACAGATGGGGGTCCAGTTTTCCCTTGAATGCCTCCAGCGTTGGAGCGCTCGCCACCTGTCTTAAGGTCATTGGTTCCATTTGTTAGAGAGCATTGTGTGTTCTGACCAATTATCTTCGATGTGCTAAATTAAGTACTGTACAGAGTCAAAAACATGGAGTTAACTTGTAATAGCTTTAGGTTTATTCAGACAGTTCGGTGGTGATGATCTCTTTACAGCACTTCAGCACTCCAACAGAGATGTTATCCTTCCCAGGTGCCTTGCTAGAGACGAGGGAATCCAAGGCCACTTTTATTTCTGCTAAAGTTGGTTTGCTGTCCAACTCTTCCAAGACAAGCAGGCACTTGATGTTATTTAATGCCTCTTCAGTTACTACATTCTCTCTGGAATATAGCTCGGAGTAGTGCTGCACCCAGCGGTCCATCTGCTGGCTCGGTCTTGGATGATCATGCCTGTAGCAGACTTCAAGGGAGCAGATTTCTTCTGTATTGGACCTAAAGCCTGCTTGATCCCATCGTACATTCCCTTGATGTTACCTGTGTCCGCTGTTAACTGTATCTGAGAGCAGAGCTGAAGCCAATAATCGTTAGAACATCTCCTGGCAGCCTGTTGGACTTGGCTATGAGCAGCTTGAACAGCCTGCAAGTCGTACTCACTAGGATAGGCTTTGTATGCTGCTAGAGCTCTCCTCTTATCCTCGATGGTTGGCATCAACTCCTCCGAATGGGCTTCGAACCAGTCGGCCGTGTTTTTGGTCTTCTGACTGAATGTGAACAAGGTGGTGTTATAAACAGCATTCTTAAAATGTTCCCATTTGCATCAGTCGGGCCTGGAAGGGTTTCCTCAAGCGCTTGGGCAAATTTCTCCACTTTTCTTTGATCGCGATCTTGCCGATGTCAATACGTGGACTTCTTTCTTTTTTCGTGTGATACAATCTCTTTGTT